TACCTGTAGCTTCTGTCTCTAGCAGGATTTGGCTTTCTCCTGGAGCAAGTATTATCTGCCACCATGCACTATCTACTCTCTTGCATCCTATTTCTCTTTCTTTGTGGGGATGACCAAGGGTTTACTGTGGCTGCAGTACAATTGGCAGCTGTCAGAATCAAAACTCATTAATAAAAAAACAATAATGCTTCAAAGTACATTACATTACTCCTTCAAAGTCCTTTGTGAACATTATCGTATTAATCATCACAATAGCTCAGGGGAAGATCAACATTGTTGGTTATCTTACCTAGATCATATTTTGAAAGAACTTTTTTTTTCTTGTTATTGTTTGATTATGCTATAAAATCTGGATAGCAATTTTCATATTGGTTATTTGGATATAATTTGATATGCTGATGTAAAAATGCCCCTGGATCCGTAAGGTGGTTTTTATTTTTATTTTAGATGTCTCACCCGGACTCTTGTTGAATTCTTTCTAGAGGCTGAGCAAAGAATAACAAGCAAAAGATCCAGATACTCCTGCTCAAGGATTGAAATTTTCTGAGTAGCTTGAGGCTCATTAAACCATACACGCATGATCTAGAAATCAAAAGATACACATAGTAGGTGCTCAAGTAATTGTTGAATGACCGAGTGATGTACTAATTTATAACCTGGAAGTTTAACTAAGGGCATTTGTAGGAAATTAGTATCCTAGTTAGGAATTCCATTAGTAACTGGTATCAAATAGCTAAACAACAATTCTTTTAGGAAAGGAACTTTACCTAGAAAATCAGCTTAAACAAATGTACTCAGTTATTTCTGTCCCCACCTCACCTCTAGGATTCTAGCTTTACTTTTCACATGTTTCATGTATCTTTATTTACAAGTTTAGTTTCCCTTCTATAGCAGGGACTCTATGTCCTTCCGGGCTTTGCAAATAATGGTGCCTCAGTAAATGACTGTTGAATTGGAAAAAAATTAACCAGAGAAATCTTTTCTATAAAAAATTGAAAGGTGGACAGGTTCCATTTCAGCAATGAGCTGCAGAGGCCCTGGAGGATTTTCTTTTTTCTGGAGATGCGCAGTGTCACAGTGTTTGGCATTTTCTATGTTCTAAGATGGAGTCTCATTTTGTGGGACTGTTCAGGGTGGAATGGGCATCAGTGCCCCTAGACCTCTGTTATCTTTCGTGCTGAGAAAGTGTGTTGGGGTGAAACTTCATGAGATTTACATCACATTTTTTTCCAGTCCAAGCAAACATTTCTGGCCTCATAGACTGTCAATTCTATGTCCACACTATAAGCATAGACTCTAATGCAGCAGTTCTCAACCTGTGGGCCGCGACCCCTTTGGGGGTCGAATGACCCTTTCACAGGGGTCGCCTAAGACCATCGGAAAACATATATACTTATAATTACATATTGTTTTTATGATTAATCATTATGCTTTAATTATGTTCAATTTGTAACAATGAAATTGGGGGTCACCACAACATGAGGAACTGTATTAAAGGGTCGCGGCATTAAGAAGGTTGAGAACCACTGCCCTAATGACTAGGCTAAAGTCGGACTGTATTGGTAACCAAGCATCTGCCTTTTTTAACACATAGTTTTGTGGCAACAGGGTATGGAGCTGGGTGGAGGTTGGGACATTTCTCTTGGCTTGTAGTTCCTCTCCTGCTTGAGCACACACACACTTTTCACTGGCACCCCTTCTTCCCATTCTTCTTACTGTTACTCCAGGGAGACCTGGTGCCCAGGACAAAAATGGAAGCTTTCTAAAAACTTCCTCAATTTAAGCACACTCTTGAAGTCTTTCTCCGAGCCCCAAGGAATTGTGACCCATTATTAAAAAACAATGAATAGAACATGCAGGCTTCTGTTTGCCATTTTTTAAAATTAAGAGATAAAACACCTTTATGCTTTTCTAAAATCTTTTTCATTCTTGCCTTGTCTTTTCCATAAGAAAGTGGGTGATGACATCCCATAGAAGAAGCCTAGCAAAGAGGATTTAAAAGGTCTAGATTCCCATTAGTAATGTGTACCTCTACCACTCTGCTGTAGAGGGAAGAGTCTTAGCCAATGGCTTTTCAGGAAAATGATAATGCTTTTAAAACAAAATCCGAATTTCTAGTAAATCTAGTTTCCTCAGCTTCAGCTCTTAAGCTTTGCACATACCAGCATATGCTTCATCATTATTATTTTATTAGTATATTTAAAAAATTTTTAAAAATATATCTCTTTATTGATCTCAGAGAGGAAGCAGAGAGAGAGATAGAAACATCAATGATGGAGAGAATCATTGAACAGCTGCCTCCTGCACACCCCCTACTGGGGCTGGAGCCCGCAACCTAGGCATGTGCCCTTGGCTGGGATCAAACCTGGGACCCTTCAGTCCACACAGGCCGACGCTCTATCCACTGAGCCAAATTGGCTAGGCCTGCTTCATTCTTTTTGAAATAATATTGTTTTGATGAAATGTCTGTGTCTCAGTTGTCCATGTTTTGCACAGCAGTTTTAGATTGGGTATTCATAGCAATCATAGCTGTGATTTCTATCCTGAAGAGTCTGCAAAACAGGAACATCCCCAGTGTTGAAACTTCTCTTAGGGAGCTTTCTATAGATTTTGAAAGCTACAGATCTCTCTGTGTAGCTTGATATTTAATGGCCTTGATTAGAAAAATGTGAACCACTGTTTTCAAGGAAATCCTTGGAGCCAGGTCATGTTTCGGATGGAGAAGCCCAAGTAGTAGACCATAAACATGTAGGGCAACCATCCCACAACTCCTTTTCAACCATGTTCGCTCCCCTTTTATCTTTTCTTTGTCTTGAGGTGGGCAATCAGATAATTAGCAAATCAAATGTTTTCTAGAATTTTTGAAGCACTTCCGGGGAAAGTAATTACAATTTGAAAGTCACTACAGCAAAGCTCTAGCTTGCTAACTAAAACTGTAATTAGGAGACTGAGCAGAATTTCTGAAACTGTTCACTTTCCTCCTAAAAAGAGCAATACTCCCTAATCTAGAGGACTAATTGGACCCATGATTCTTGGAGGATTGATTTCAGAGCTCGCAAGTTTAGGATTGAAATATTCATGACCTTTTCCTGAGAAGGAACATTTGTACCTGGATCATGATTCTGTTCCATGTCTTTGAGATAAACCTAATTTGATTTATGGGGTCAGTCCTTAACCTTTTGAGTTGTCAAATTAGTTGCCAAATGGGGGCAGCGTGTGGGTGTGTTAATTTTTTCAAGCATCAACTGTGAGATCCATTTGGAAGTCCAGCAAACTTGTCTCTCTTATGCTTGGCTTCCTCATTCCCTCTCTGAATTCTGCCCTCTCCCCCACCTGAGTTGTTAATTACAATTCCAGCTCTGATATCAATAGAGCAGTTACTTAACCTCTTAGGGTTCAATCTTCTCTTAAGAAAATAAGCAGAGACTGCACTGAAATGATCAATAAAGGCCTCTTTAGTTGCTAACAATTGATGATTACATGGGGTCTGGTCTCCCACAGCCACAGAGCTATTGGCAGTGCCCTATGCAACTCCTCAGGCCACCATTCTCTTAGGTTCCCACGTACCTGACCCTGCAGTTGTGCAACACAGTGGCCCCATGTGGGGTGGTTTGAAAGGTGTGACCAAATTTCTCCTCAGCCTTAAAAAGTCTTCCTTTCCAGATGCTTTGAAATGTTGCCACTGGAGACCCAAGTTTAAATATTATTCTCTCCAGTATGATTCTTGGACAGATAACACATTAAATCATTAACAGGTTATGTGAATTGTTTTTATTTCCTCCATGACAGGAAGACCCAAAGAAGTATGAGAACTCAGGGTAGATGGTGCTGGAGAAGAAATACTTTCTTTTATTCTCTTAGAGGTTCTGTGGCTGGGCCCGAGAATTAGGCTAATATAAGACTGATTAACAGGATAAAAACATACACACTTTAATTAATATTTTTACATGCACACGGGAGTCTTCAAAAGGAAAACGAAGACCCAAAGAAGTCGTGAGGCCCCAAAGCTTATGTAACTTTTTAAACAAAGAATGATAAACTGTGGGGATGTGACAAGACAAAGGGGCTTGGGCTAAGGGGGTAAATTGTGGGACAGTGACTAAGAAACATAAGGGGGAAATTAATGGAAGATCAAGTTTATTTTAGTAAGTTTGTTTGTACAAGGCCATTTTGGCTTCTCCTCCCAGTCTCTAGTGATAAGAACATTCTTCTTTTCCTGGAAAAATAAGGGCACCTTTCTCACGGGAAATCTTATCACCTACGTTTAGGTAGAAAAGGGTAGGTCAGAGAGCCCGTCCTCCTCTATTGTTTCTCCAGTGCCTTCAGCTCAAAATAATCAGGAGGCCAGAGCAGAAGATGCTGGGGTGGCTTGTTCTGAACCTCTTCACTGGAGAGGTTGGGAGTGGGCGGGACAGGGAAATTGAATAAAGGCTTTCAAGCCAGAAATAACTGAAATCAAATCATGGATCCATTAAGATGTGTGACCATGGGTGAATTATGTCAGCATCTGGGCCTCAGTTTCTGCCTCTGTAAGGTGTAGTGTCTTCCCCAGGAGGACTTTTGTGAGGATTGAACCGTATAGCTCCTGCTGTATACACCAGGTACTCCTTAAAAGGACTATTACCTATTACTTCATAATTTTACCCACAGCTAGATTTGCAATTAGATGTTCCAATCATCTAGTTGAAAACAAAACTCAAATAGAAGTCTTGGTATTCAAGGGACAAACAGACACACCTTCCCACTTGAGGAACAACTTTTAAATTTCATAATCGTCTGTGCCTGTGGCACAGTTAGGCTGGGATGCCAAGACGTACTTCTCTGATCTTCCTCACCATTCTCTCATGCCTTGGAGTTGTTTGGCACATGCTTTGAAATGTGAAAATGGGGACGGTACTCTGTAAACAGTGAAATCATTATGTTAAAAGCTCATTTTATTTTCTTCCATTTGAATATGAACTACAGTGCTGGAGATAATCTTTGTTTTTGTAGGGAGTGGGTTTTTTTTTTTTCCTCTCTCTCTTTTATCTGTCTTCCATTAGGGAAGTATTTTTTGATTGCTTATACCATTTATTTTGTGGAAATAAGAGTCTATTGTTCTATCAGGGAAAAAAAACCACTTCAATAACCATTTAGAACAAGGAGAAGAAAGGAAAGTATTTTGGAGAAAAATAATTCCTTTCCCATACTTCTCTTAAGCTGTGTATCTTGGAACTAGTTTTCCATTATAAGGAACTTGCCCTTTGTTTATGAAAAAAATCTCTAAGAAGACAAAACCCATAGGATTTGTCCATTTTCCTAACTAATTTTCAGGCACGATGCAAAACTGCCATTAAGGATCTCTGATCTTTCCCCAGTCCGATTTAAAAATATTTGTTTAGAGGTTACAAAAAATTTCAAAAACATGTTAAAGGACTTTTAAAAAAGTTGACTCCCCTTAGGAACTTGGAAATTAGATTTTTAAAATGTTCTCTGAGCTGCCTCTGAAATTTAATCTTGACTATCATTATACTGTCCTCCTACCAAAGCGTAGCTTGATCTAGCTTTCAAGCAGTGGGATCATGGAGGTGAGAGCCGGTTGGACAGTGTGCCCAATTTGGAGGTTTTATTCACATCTTTTATCTCAGTTCACCACTTGGATTGCAAAGGCTGATTCTTTTTATGGAGTACATTTCCTTTTCTCTGACCAGAAATACTTGCATCGAGGCATATTTGCTAACATTTTTTCTTTGTGTATGTCAGGTGTGTTAGTGTTTTCTCTCAGCAAATAGATTAGAGGTTCCGTGAAGCTGGGGGACCCTGTCTGATACTCTTTGGAATTCCTTATGGTGCTCAGTTCAGTGCTGGTCCCTTTGTAGCTGCTCCATAAACACTGTACTTGTTCATTTATTGGTTGATTTTCTGTTAGCTCAATCTGTAATCCAGTAGAAAATTAGAAAAAGGCTCGAAGCTCTTTATGATCAATTCAGCTAACCAGAGAGAATTTCTGGAAAAAAAAAAAAAATGTTCACTTATTTCTGTGCCCCAACTTCACTACACACCCCTTCCCTCCTGATTAGGTATGAGCAAAACCAAGATGGCAGTGCTGAGTTCAGCTTGATGTTTTAAAGGATGGAAAGATGGAGCAAGTTCTTAGATCTTTTTGTGTTGGATCTGCTGACTATAGTTTATCACATCCTCATTAAACTGTAAGGCAAATACACATAGCTTTTGGATGATTTGCAGAAATAATTCCCTCTCTCTAAAGAGATAAGAATTGGCTGCATTTCTGTTTTGCTGTGTTTTGTTGAACTCTTCTTTAAGCAACGAGGCAACCACACTGACTTATCTTAGTTTGTGAGACAGCAGGGAAGCGTCTCTGAACTAACCCTGCCATTTTACACAAGACGAAGGCTCAGAGGGAACGAGTGGTCTATAAGGCCAAGCAGCCAGCCAGAGGCACAATCAGGGCGACTTTGTTTTGTTCCCCTCCGCCTTCCTTCACCACTTCTTTTTGGTAAGTAAAGGGATTGCTCCGGAGATAAGCTTAATCTACTTTTTTGCTTGACCTTGCTTACGTATAAAATGGAGATGTCAGGGCAATGAAAATATTTCCAAATTCCACCCATAGCTCTTATGGAATTTAATGTTGAGTGTAAGATCAAAATGTAAGGCCCTTTAAGCTATTTAGTAGAAATTTGCCATATAAGACAGAATGCTATTTTTCTGGTTTGATCAATGTGGATTGTTATTCGGTCATCATTCTTTTTTAAATTTAATTTTTTAAAGTTTGTGGTAAAATAAACATAAAATTTACCACTGCAACCATTTTTAAATGTACTGTTCAGTAGTATTAAGTGCATTCACAATGTCATGCAACCATAACCGCCATTCATTATCAGAACTCTTGATCTTGCAAAGCTGAAACTCTGTACTCATTAAACACTAACTCCCATTCTGCCCTCCTCCCAGCTCCTAGCCATACCATTGTAATTAGCTAGTTATTTTTAATAGAAAAGGAACAAAAGGGAGGCCAGACATTATAAGCATGTCATTTCACACTTCCCGGGGCACCACCAGCGCATTCCCTGCAGATCCCTGGGGAAGGGACTGCACTAAGGGAAAGAGGGATGCCTGAGCAGTGAGTTAGGTTGACCTAGGGAAGGTGCTTGCTGTCAGTCAAACATGGAAACAGAAATCACTAGTCAGAAGGGGTGGAGTCGATGCAAGCCCGTGAAAATACGGGAATACTTAATCCCCTGAATAAAGGAGTTCACACTTTGGCCCTTGGCTCCTGGGGCTCTTGGCTCCTAGATGCTCCCGGCTCTCTTCCATTTGCTCATAATGGTCCATAGCCATGCAGACCCCACATGCAATGGACTGATGGACCGCAACTGGGAACACAAACTAAACTAGCCTGACTATGCCTTCACGGGGAAGGGAAGCTCAGACACTGGCTCTGATTTTAGCTCTGCTGAAGCCCCAGCTACACTTCTTCTATGGCTGGACTAAGGAAAATGGGACCTTGGAAACTCAGGATTTCATTTCATGCAAATAAAAATCACTCATTCTCCCATGCAAGTCTCAGAAAATTCTTTTTCTTGGGATGTCTTATAAATCATATTTGTCATTTTGTGGCTGGCTTATTTTACCCAGCATAATGTCCTCAAGGTTCATCCATGTACATCACACATCACAATTTCCTTTCTTTTTAAGGCTGAACAATAATTCACCAATTATGTGTATCTATCTATCTATCTATCTATCTATCTATCTATCTATCTATCTATCATCTATCTATCTATCTATCTATCTATCTATCTATCTATCTATCATCTATCTATCTATATCTTTATCTATCTATCTATCTATCTATCTATATCTTTATCTATCTATCTATCTATCTATCATCTATCTATCTATCTATCTATCTATCTATCTATCTATCTATCATCTATCTATCATCATCTATCATCTATCTCACATTTTGTCTATCCATTCATCCATAGGTGAATACTTAGGTTGCTTTCACCTTCCAGCCATTGTGAATAAAGGTGCCCTGAATATGGGTGTACAAAAATCTGTTTGAGTTCCTACTTTCCATTTTTTGGGGTGCATACCCAGAAGTGAAGTTGCTAGCTCATATGGTAATTCTGTTTTTAAATGTTTGAGGAATAACCATATGTTCTCCACAGTGGCTGCATCATTTTGCACTTTTACCAACAGTTCATAAGGGTTCTGATTTCTCTTCATCCTTGATATTTTCTGTTTTTCTCCACACTTGCTGTTTTCTGGCATGTATGTTTTTCTTTTCCTTGAGGGTCATAAGATAGTGTGTTTTTGAGATTAAACAAAAAAGGACAATCACGGAGAAAAGCCAAAGAGTAAATGTCTCTCCTTGCTTTTTCCAGTCACATCATGCTAATAAATTTAAATTTGATTTTGATTTTTAGGAGATATATGAAAAATAGCTCTGGAGGAACCAAAAAACATAGGCGTGTTATTGTTCTACCATCACCGTTTGAAAGGTGTGGCAGGAGAAAGTGAACAGGGACTCTCAGATGAAACACAATATTGATATTTGGCATGCTCAGAGGATTTTTCCACCCAAAGATCCGAAATCCCTTTACCCACAGTAATTACGCCTCTCCACCAGGGCCAGCCCTGAGCACAGCCGGGAAGTCGGCAGAGGTTGACTTTGGCGCCTCCGGCCTTCTCTTGCAGTGGCGCATTTCCTTTCTGGGGGTGCACTTGCCACTGATTGCTAAAGAAACAGGTTCCTAGGCACCAAGCTGAGCTACTGAATCATAATATCTGCGAGTGGGGCCCAGGGATCTGAATTTTAACTACATGTCTCACTCTCACCCTCATGATCTTCTTCACACTGAGCTTTAAAAATCACTGAGTTAATAATCATGCCAGCCTCCTACAGATTTATGTTCCTCTTCTGCCTGACAAACCCACTCTTCTGAAGTGTAGATGGCAATGGTGATTGCCTACAAGTGTACTCCAATGATATTGGAAAAGCTCTTTGTTTCAAGACAGGGTTCTTCCTCTATCTCTTTCGGAATGTTGGGCATTTGGAGTTAAGAAGGGTAATTTTGAAATCTATTAAATATTAAATCTTAATTGTTGGTGTTTTTTATTTTGCGCAAAAATTTTTATTACTAATGATTTTTGTCACTTGGTCACTTCAACAGGCTTGGTATTTGAAATCAGAGCCTTGGGTTTAAATCCTGACACATTCTCTTGTTAACTTGGTCATCTCACCAATTTACTTACGTGTTCTTAGCTTCACTTTCCTCATTTATGAAATGGAGACAAGCCCTGGTCAGTTAGCTCAGATGGTTAGAGCATAGTTCTGATATGCCAAGGTTGTGGGTTTGATCAGGGCACTTACAAGAATCAACCCTCTAAAATCAATAAAAAAAAATAAATAAAATGGAAAAAAATAAATGGAGATAATACAATAGAAATTGAAGTATTATTTTGAGAGGTAAATGAGATAACTGCTTTTAGAGAGTTGCCTATGACAATGTCAGGCACACATTAGATGTCCCAAATATATTCAATGCACATGAACTGAGGACCTTATATTAATTGGTTGTGGTAGGGGGTAAAGTGTTGAAGATAGACACAGTGACCATCTAACAAAGAGTTAAAGTCAAATCAAAGAGAAAGACCTTGAAGTTGTTTTAAGGGAAGGTAAGTGTTGAAACAACATTCAATCATGTGACAAATATTTGTTGAGTTTCCATTACATGTACATACAGTTCTGTGTTAGGCATAGATATCCAGTGATAAATATGACATATGAGTTTCCTCATGGAGTTTGCAAGTGGGAAGAGGGACACAGAAAATAAACTAGTATACTAATAATTAAATGGATAACACCCAATACTGAGAAGTGCTATGGAAGGAGTAAGGCAGGGTTATGTTAGAGAGATGTATTAGTTTTCTACCACTGCTTTAACAACTTACAACCAACTATGAGGCTTAAAAATAACAAACATTTATTCTCTCAAAGTTTTAGAGGCCAGAAATCTAAAATCAAGGTGTTGACAGGATTGGTTCCTTCTGAAAGCTCTGAGGGAAAATTCATCTCATGTTTCTGTTCTAGCTTCTGATGGCCGCTGGAAACCCTTGGCATTCCTTGCCTTCTAGGAACATAACTCTTACTTCTGCCTCCATCTTCTCTTTACCTTTTTCTCTCTGAGTCTCTGTATCTTCTCTTCACAAAAGTACACCTGCCCTTCAATTTAAGGCCCACCATAAATCCGGGATGATCTCATCTTGAGATCCTTTAGTTAATTACATCTGCAAAGAACTTTTTCCCCAAATAGGTAAACTTCACAGGTTGCAGAAGTTAGGACTTGAACACTTGGGGGTGGGGGGTGGGGTCAAGACTCAACTCACTACAAGATAGACTGTGATCAGGTGGGAAGTGGCTAGTCTACTTTGGATAGGATGGTTGTAGAATGCTTTTCTGAGAAGGAGACACTGACCTGAGACTTGGGGCATGAGAAGGAACCAGTCATTCAAAAAGAAGGATGAAAGGCCCCATGATAGAAAAGGAAAAGAAAAAGGGCCAGTGCATGGAACAATCAGAGTGAGAGGGAGAAAAGTAAAGATATGGGATGAGGCCAGAAAGGTAGGAGGGGGCTCAGATTATTCAGGGTTTTATAGTCAATAATTTTATGCATGTGTTTTATTATTACTGCACTAAGAAGGTACAGGAGAGGTTTTATTAAAGACGTACAGTAAGCAATCAGATATGTGATTCTGGAGCTCAGAGAAAACTCTAGACCAGATATATGTTTGCTAGTTATCCTCTTTAATAAAGAGGTAATATGGAAATTAACCCTCATGCCCTCACAGGATGGCTGCCTACGACCAGGCTGGCAAGGGAGTTAGTGAAGGATGACCAAATGACTGAACAAGCAGGCTGCGTGGGGCGACCAGCAGAGGGGTTAGTGAGGGACAACCAAATGACTGAACAAGCAGGCT